ACAGCATGAGACTTGATAGACAGGTTGAACAGGTAGGGTATTGCAGGAGCAAGCTCAAGAGCAAAATCCTTCCAGAACCAATGTCAGGTCCAGCTGCTGTTTTCTTTACACTTGATAGGAACTTTAGAGTAGTGAGTTCATCAATAGTAGGAATATTAGTATTATCACCAATAGTCTTGATAGAGGGCGGTTCATAGTGACAGTCAGTGTTGATATGTTGAAAATATTTGTAAACTTCATTCAGATTGAAGATACTAGACAAAGGCACCTCCTTAGATGCTCTCCCTACAATCTTATCCACTGTTTTCCACCATTTTCTTGATGAGCACCCATATTGATCATTAGACTTGCCCCAAGTCGACCTCTCTTGTTTTCTCGGCGTTTTTTTAATTCGAGCGAAGCATTTCCGAATTTCATACGGGAGTGTCGGCTTTCGGGGGCGGAGCTAAAGAATTGTGGTTTTCATTTATTTGTTTCTTCATGTTATATCCGGAGCAGCAAAATATGGTTTATCAATTATAATGGTTGATGCTCTAACTCCAACTAAAACTGTTGAAAGCGGATAGCGATATCTCCAGCGTCCAAACAAAAAATATGCTTTCTTTGCGCCAGTCAAGTTCCGAACAATGACTATAGACGGAAATTGCTTAGTCGTCTCCAACATAGGAGGCAGAGATCCCCTTCGATTTTAAAGACGTTACTTGGTCTTTCATTAAAGAGACCAAAGGGACAACAACAACAACAACAGTCTCGATGAAGTTTTTCTCACCGAACCTCATAAAATCTAAGGCGAATGGAGCGATCTCAAATGTCAGGCTTTTTCCCGCTCCTGTTGGTGCAGATATAAAAACTTCTCTGCCTGAAAGATACGCTTCTATACTTTGTTTCTGGTATTCTCTTTTAGTTTCGTATCCTAATTTACTTTTACCGTATGATATGGCCTCAGATATTGATCTCATGTTGACAGACAGATGTTGTGTACATGTTGACAGATGCCGATGGAATCGTAGAGATAATCTTACTAATCTTACATTGTGATTGACAGCTTGGATTTCGAGCATTGTGATTGGCTATAATTTACCGACTGATTTTTGGGTCGGTAAATTTGGCGGGAAGCAAGGTCGAAAAGTCCGTCGTGCGCCCAGTAAAAAAACAAAAAACAAAAACAAAGCGGCGGCGGACTTTGCGAAAGTCTAATTGATCATTCGTAGTTTTAATTGCACTAAACTGTTTTTCTAATATAAGGTGGTCGATTCTCGGTTGAAGTGCATCAGCCTCATCAAGCATTCCCTTGCCAATGTCAGAAGATCTTTCACTAGAGAACTGACAAAAAAACGTTGGTTCATTCTATTGAGACTTTGACTTTCTTAACAGGGGAAAATATATCGATAGCTGAATTGATTAAAGAATAAAAATGAGACWCTGATTGGCCGAGGTAGATTGTTTACTAGTCAAAAGTCCCTGTGRGAGGGGGCTGGGGAGGGAAGGACGAAAGGAAAAAATTTTCTCATTRAGARGAACAGAGACCGATGTGACATTTAACCGTAAATTCTTTATTACATTTCGTTAAGCTTCTAGCATTTTATAAACAAAATTTGATTTCATTGGAATCCCTTTTTCACTAATTGACTTATCGCTGTCAATTTCATTGGGCATTCCTTTTCATTTTACTYTTTGTAAAACAATGCTGGAAAGGAAATGCCTATTTATTCATTGAATGCTTTTCAGTGCAACTGCATGCATTTTCAATGTCTTGATTTAGGCTGTCAATCATTCTTTTCCTTTTTCTGGTGGAAATGTATTTTGGCAAGCATTGACGGTCCGTTCGGCAAAGGTTTTTTGTTATACCTATAAAATATATCTAGTTTATCGTGATGTCAATTGCTTTCATTTCGATAATGTAAGCTTGCATTTACATTGTTCATCAGTTTGGTATGATTTGGCTTATCTTTATCATTATTTGGTCCGATTCAATTGGATATACCGTTACCTTTCACTTTCGTGCAATCAATGAATTCAATGTTCATTGGTACAAARAAAGTGGTACATAATTCTGAGCTGCCTCCTGGCCCCAAATTYGTTTTTAGCCAATGAGAATCGAGGAAATTTGCAAAACTGAGGTGTCGATTTTCCTGATAAAATTGTTGATTTCCAGGCCATCAAAAGAAAGAAAAACGTTGATAACAGTGTCACCATAAACGAGTTATATATTTTTATTGCAGTGGCGCGCATGTTTTCATTTTTCGCTGGTAAATTTTCACAGGCTTCATGACACCTCAGTCTTGCAGTGWCATCATTTCTACGTCACTATTTCAGATCAGATTGCTACCAATCGTGCTCCTAACCAATTGAGTAAGTAAATGTGTGTCTTTAACCACGCTAATGTAACGCTTTAACTGAGCATTGTTCGAGTATCATAAATATGCCTCCTCTGTGCTGCTACTTGTTGTTTCCATCTTGCATGCCTGCGATCAAAAGCCCTGACACTGAAATTCCTAGCGCCTCTTGTTCGTGCTGTCAGTCTCTCCTGCATCTGCGATTAAAAAATTATGAATCAACAAATGAATTCAAAAAACTTAAGCATGTTTGAAAGTCAGATTTACATAATTTTACACTACGTATGAAGACGTTTTCACTAATTTGCATACGGATTTAAAGCATGCGCAGACGTTGTTTACTCGTGTCAGTGTTTCCTCTTATTATATCAATGCGCTATCTCATTGGCTGGTTTTGAAAATATGTCGCAATTTGATTAGTTTAAGGATACTAGTTTATSGAAGTGGTCCAGGTTGGAGTATCCGCACAGTAAATGGGTAAACGAGTCTGCCAGTTTCACCATGTAGAAGGCAGCCAGATTAGTAGAAAGTCGCAACCCCTCCTAAGGAGGAATTTCCGTGCCTCCGTGGGTGGATCAAAAATAACATAACTCGCAACTTATCCTTGCAATAGCGCAGCGCAGCCGTGACGTCATAAAAACGAAGACAAAGGCGAAATTCGGACAAACRAACTTACAAGTTTACTTTCAGCAGATAATTTTCACAGCCGATCGCAGTTGATCTTAGTTTACATGGGTTTTTATGGTAACTTTAAGTAAAAATAATAAAATCGGTTCGTACAATCCTCGTAGCGGTTAAACAGAATGCAATGTTTGTCCAAATCTTTAAGCTATTTTTAGAATCAGCGCGCTGCGCTATTCGATAAACCTTATTCTAARACATTAACTTTGCTAGCGACGGAAGCACAAGCGCAAACACAAGTATCAATATGATCATGATATCATATCATATGAGTATGATACCTGCGCTTGTGAACCATTTGCTAAGTTATGCTGTACCAGTCGGTGCTAAACAAATTTTTAACCCAACCAAGCCCCCCCAACCTCCCCCCTCGGAGACGTTTCTCTTAGAATAGAATTTTATTCCCACAGCTAAATCTCGTCTAAATTTCCGTCTCGGAATTTTTTTGCTGCAATAACTTAACCGCGCTTATAATGTGAAGGGCTGTTTTAGCGGAGAAAATGATATACTTTTATTGTCTTTTAAACATACTGTGTATCGTATACAACATGCTCTTACATGTACCTCATCTGAAGAAACACTGATTTCCACTGGAGACATTTTAGAGTCGACGAGCAGATAAATGGCATATACAGTCAGACAAACCAACAACACAATAATGAATATAATCACCACCTATGAATTAATATCATAAGTATTAAAAGAAATGATTACAGAAGATTAGCTATATTTCCTGATCTAAAAATAAATAAACAAACAATAGGCAAACAAAAACAAAAACTGATGTACCCATTTTAATGTTTGTACGCATTCTCCATGGAATAAGTACAACATTGTTTAGATACAAGCAACACTGTAGGTCAGAGCTATGACCAAAAGTCACAAAATGTTGGCTCTTGTAAAATATCAAAGTTTGAAGTGTTGTCAAACCTCACAACAACACCGATTCTCTCAACAAGATGGGTCCAACGATGTTGGGCATAATACAATAAAATGAAAGTAATTTTAAAAAGATACACAGACAGCACCAATAAATATACATATAAAAACCATAAAGTAAAACATAAAAAAGTATGATATTTTGCACCTTTATAAGTATAGTGTTCCTGGCCTCATACATGCATTGACACCTAAGGCAGAAGTTTTCTTCGCGTTTGACAATGTGCTGACAATTGCTGAGGAAAAACCAAAATGTTTCGGTTCGTTTAATTGAGTTTAGTACCTTAAATACAATTGAACCTGTATTAAGCAGTCATCCTTTGGACTTGTCTGCTTACCATGTAATACAGGTTCTACAGTAGTCTATGAAATCATTACAGATTTACCTAAATTAGTACACAGGTTGTTATAGATTTAAGAATCATTAATTACAAGGAGTACCACTGGAAAAAAAGTTAGGGAGCACTAGAAAATGGACAAATTTYATTTTCCTGTGGGGGTGGGTTGAGTAAAATTTGTCAACTAAAATAACACTAACTGAATTAAGTTTCAATCATGAAAATGAATCTCATCACTGTGATTAATTTTAATCAATGTGTGAGGTGTGCGTGGTTGGTCAAAGTTCCACATTTAGCATCTTCTACTGTTTGCCTTACAATGTAAACACCAACCATGCCCTATTTCTATTGTTTGATGTAGGATTTGAATTTTGTTGGCAAACCTATGTTTGTAAAATTAGGGACAGCACTGATATYAAGAGGAGAGATCAGGGCTGAATTTGAAGTTAAGTTATAGGGTATGCAAATTTGAAGAGGTGAAGGGAGAGCATAAAGAGCAAGCGAAAGGGGAGATGGGAGGGTTGAACTAAATCGTTGTTTAAGACTGAATTCTGCAAAAAATTAGCGGAAAGTGATCAAATTCAGCGACTGATTGACTGACTTCAAGCTTTAGGAATTATAGGCCTAGTGGAAACGTCAAACTTTCCATGCACCCAACTCATTAAAAAAAATGGATATCAGGTGATRAGGTGGCATTCTTTGATGTAATTAAGTTTGGTGCATGGAAAGTCCGACGATTGCCCTAGGCCTTAGACACACAACTCAGCCAAGATGACTAATTTGTGGATATTTCACCAATGACAATAATTTTTAAGTCAAAAATTGATTTCTAGACAGATAAATACATGTACTTGTATCTTTTCACTGTTTTAGAAGAGGCCACATTGCACCCACCCCTTGCCCCCCAGTTTTATTAACCAGTGCAGTTATCTGCCATTTTCAAAGTAATGACAGGAACTTGAACGAGTGTGAATAAGTCTGAGAAATTGTCTCAGTTGTAGAACTGACCATTTTTCAAATTCATCTCGATTCATCAAATTGTCTCGTTATTGAACAGTAAATGTGAATCAACACTATTATTGTAACAAAGCTTTGTCTATTTGCTTCCTGGTCAACCCATAATACCAGGTCGTCCTTCACGAATTTGCAAGATGTGAYCCTATTGGAGTACGCACATGTGTAGAAAAACAATGACCTTTTTCCAACCCTGCCCCTAACCTAACCAATCACAGGGGACATTGCAAATTCATAAAGCCTAACCCATAATACCTTGTGATTCAAGATGGCCACCACATTGTGAAGTGGTCTATTATGTARTATGAATTAAAAAGCACCCACTTTCACATGGGGCTCTAGATTTAATTTATTTTGCTGTTTGACCCCTATGGTGGCCGAGAACTGCCATGTGAATATTATAATTCAAGTGAAAATTTTTGACAATTTATTTCGTTCTTCTTTGCATTTTATTACTATTTCCATTTCGTTTTTATTTTCATTTTCTTTTGTATTTCATTTCATCTAAATTTACGTTTTATTTCAACTTGTTTTATTTCAATTATATTTTGTTTTCACTTTGTTTAAATTCCATTTATTTGATCTTTTAATTTTAATCCATTTTATTTACTGTAACTCATTTTATTTCGCTGAAAGTTAAGAAAAAAAMCCCCGCAAAACAAAAATAATTTAAATCCTTGGCCGAGGACTGCCACGTGGATGAGAGGTCCTGGGTTCTTTTGTGATGATAGTAGTAAACATGGCGTCAAATGCACGTTGGAAGAAGTATACCCAAGCAAAAAAGGAGAAAAGAAAACTACCATCATTGAAAACATAACAAAAGTTTCAAGGAAACTTCTTAACAATTCAAAGGTTTTCAGCTGACATTAGTGGTAGAGAGCAGAAATATGCAAGAATTGGTCTAAGAGAGTTTCCTGAATACATGGAAGAAATAGTGAGAAGATAATAAACCATGACATGAATTGAGGAAAATGAGCCAGCCGATCTAAAGAAAATACTCTAGGGATTCTTTGCCAAAGTATAAAGCAAAAAACTAAAACAGAAACGAAAAAGACTAGGAGYATGACAATTAAACATGATGTGGTAAGTGCTTACACAATAATTTGGTCTACAAGATCCCAAAACTGAGCTGAGTCAGGTATAACTTTTTTTAAATGTATACAACTTCAGTTAGCTGCAAAGTCGGCCAATCCAAATGTCTTCATTCATAGTGATTCAGATTTACTTTACAGCAAAAAAAACTTTTTYATAATCAACATATATAGCCAAATTTAGCAAAATAGCAGAATACTCTTTGAATTACATGATGTACATGTATTTGAAACCAAAATCAAAATCAAAATCTTTGAATATAGTTGGCTGTAAACGAATGAATTCCATAAAATATTATGTGTTAAATATTTCAAACATATTTTTGTCTCTTTCTTTTGTAATTTTTTCATGTATGTTATTAAGTAATAACATGATTTCGAGTTCAATTTGGGATAATTTGCACTTGGGTGTTTTTCAAAGAGTTGAAATTGCATGAGACAGTAGGTCGTGCTAATAATCCCAAAATGAACTCGAAACCATGTTATTTACAAATAGAGCTCACCATTGCTCAGGTTCAACTGTTGCAACAAAAACATTTCTTTCTGTACTATTTCCTTTTGGACACACACATTTACAACGAACATCTGAGTAGGATGCCTGCAAAATATCAAAAGATTATGAGTTACTAAGGTATGGACAATGATGGACCATGTGATCTCCTCTTGAAGCRTACAAAGGATTAATTGTCAAATAAACAGTTCCTAATACCCGGTCTCCACTGTATTTCATAATATGTATCTCATGGTAATCAAAATGGCGGCTAGTCACTRTAATTAAGACAACGCGGAATATGCTCATACTCTTATTCCATTTATGCTTTGTTAATATTAATTTTAATTGCTGATAGGGCAAGAGGAAGCTTTTCTATAAACCTTTAGTTTTAATTTTTACTTAATCTAAGCTTTCAAATGGAGTCAATTTTGTTTCCAAAAGTATACTAGAACAGAAATTAAGAAAAGTCATTTTGGTGGTACTCAATCTGTGATACAAAAATTAACTCAGCTCCATTTCACTTCATGTAAGCTATCACTAAAATCAGTTTTTCTAACTTATTTTGCAACACTGGATATATGATTTTCTTTTTTTCTTGAACCTAAGCTTTCCAATGAAGTCAATTTTGTTTTCAGAAGTTATCTAGAACTGAAATTAAGGGAAGTCATTTTGGTGGTACATGTACTTGACCTGTGATACAAATATTAACTTCGGCGTCATTCCACTTCATGTCAGTTATCTCTTAAATCTTTTTGCCATCTTCGCAACACCAGAAATACGATATTCTTTTCTACTTGAACCTAAGCTTTCCAATGAAGTAAATTTTGTTTGCTAAAGGGTAAGGTTCCTAACAAGTCCTTTCTCTCATCTTTCTCTTGTCTTTCCAAACAGCAGTGCATAACAAAGATTAGATGTTAAATTAGCTCCAGCATACCAGCACATTAAGCAAGCCAGTGCGAGCACCAAGAGTGTCTTGTACTTCCATCTTGTTRGTGACTGTGATGTCACACAAGGCTTTTGAATGTATTTTTTTAATTTTTAGTACTAAACACTAGCCATTATGAGACATCAAATTTACAATGAACATTCATTGTGGAAACTTTAAGTTTAAATTAAGATGATTCATTTAAAATACTTTTTGACTGTAAACCAGTGAAAATTTGTATATTTAAGCTTAATGGAGCCTGGCCGGGGTAACGTCACAGTCAGTAACATATTTGAAGTACATGTACAATGCATGAACCTTTACAACTTAAACATGCAACCTTCAAATGAAGAAATATTTCACAGTCAATTTCTTTACCCCGCCGGGAATGTGACAAATGGGGGCRTTTATTGAAGAAAAAATCGAAGTTTATCTTGTATCGTGTATCTGTGACTGTCTAGCTTCGTGAGCCTACTGTGTTTGCTGGAAAGAACGTTTCAAAAGTAGGACTAAATATTTTATCACACCACTCCTCAAGGAGCTTCTACATCTACATCTATATCTACATTTATTTATATTAACTCCATCAAAGGGGGTRCCCATCACAGACAGACTGTAGCTTCAGCGAGAAACTTCAACGTGTTACAGTCTCTTGAAGTTATTTTTTCTTTGTAAAGGATTTTTATAGAATCAGTTATATTAAGTTTATATTCTAGTCTTTTTTAATACGATAGTATAAAGTTAATACTAACCTGACTTGAAGAACTCTCCGATTGTATAGTATTTATGTGCAAGAAGACTACCACTAACATRAGCATCCAACGCATTTTTTAACTCTAGAGATTACTACTTATTTTTTTCCCCTTATGGAAGCAAAAAGAGAACAATTTCGTATAATATACTTTGAAGTTTCAACTCTCACTTCCATCAGTCCACAGACCTTCCTCCGCCATCTTGCAACGAGCGAAT